TTTACAAGTAGGAAGGAAAATATTTTGGATTCCGCAAAGTAAATCCAATACAGAAGGATCGTTTGTTAAACATGCACGCCGTGTCTGGCTTTGTGAATAGCGTGCAATAATATTTTCGTTCATATTCAGTGTAAACATTGACTTGAAACCTGGGAATAGGAAATAAAACGCCGCCGAGTTGTTTTTATTTCTGTATTTATTTTACACGTGATACATGTTACATACACATAGTTTTAGGGCGCAGTTATTTTTTTATCGTTTTTAAGTTTTAATATTAAATCACTTACAAGTTAAAGGACGCCTCGCAAGCACAGTTACAGTAACATTTACATCACTTTAAAGGAGTATTACGTTTATCTTATTAAAACATTCAAAATTTAAATGTAACACTGTTAAAAATTACTATCTTTTAATGCTGTAAATTTACAAGTTAGATTATGTTTAATATATGAGTAACCATCCAAATCTTAAAAACAAACATTTAAAATGTTAAAAGCCTATGGTTACCACAAATCTAGTGCTAGCTTAAACTACTTCGGTCAGGGTGCTTTCTAATATCGCGTACAAAATTCTACGACAGATTCTCGACTTCAAAGTCGAGCATATTAATTCTAAAGTCGAAAGTTTGTTTCAAAAATTTTACTGAATAATTTTTAATGTTACAATCATATTGTACACAAATTCCTTATAAAATAACTGTGAATTAGGGTCAATTGCAATAAATATCATATCGTGACTTTCGACACCCTGTCTCATAGTTCATAATTTTTGTACCCCATTAAAATGCACCCTGTGTATAATAAAATTACAACGTCTAAATCTGACAACTGCAATTCCTTTAATTACAGTGTATTATAACAAATATATAGGTACTATCTAACTACCTATCTCTGATTTATCCTAAACGATATGTCCTAGAAAGCTGTTTAAAGTGGGAAAACGATAATAATATATCATATATATCCAACAGCAATAAATATATATACAAGGGAAACATCGCGAGTGTATCTTTAACATAAACGTGGAATATATTTTACAATTTCGTTGTGATAAAATCTAACGTTAGATATATAAAATAAGATTTTTAACTTTATATTGCACTAATACATTACTTTGATTAAAAATATTTTCATTGGTCCGTGCATAATTGTATATAATTGATTAATTTGTGACATTTGCGTATCTTATTTAATCCTGGTAAAGTGTTACTTAGTTGTTAGCATGATAGGTATACATTAGTTAATTTCTTATACTTAATGTTTTTACTTTGAAATTTTCTACACTACGGATTAGAGAAATAACTAAAGAAAATTCATGATAGTTTCCGGTATTACTATGATTTGAAAATTCAGTTGGATTTTAAATAAAAAGGATCAAAGATTGGAAACATTCGTTAATATTTCAGACACTAGTAGGTAATATTAAAATATTAGTATCTACATTTTTGTCGAATTCAAAGTGTAGACTTAAATTAATAGAGCATTCGCAAATACATATATTTAATATTACATTTTTAATATAATTAGATTGATTATTGATATTCTCTATTATAGTCCAGTCGAATTGATTTCTTTGTCTTTTAAATCCAATACACTCAATGGCCTAATTAACAAATAACGTTATAAAAAAGCTAACCTGGAAACAAAGAGGCATAGGTAATTTCTTTTTTTAATTACCGTAAAAATAAGCCCTATGTAATGCAAAAAGAGCGAATTCCCGAGCGGCTTTTGCCTGACCTTGGGACAGTTTATTTATAACGCTGTTGTGTACATCCTATTTAACTTAATTTCAACTTTTTGATACACTTTACTTTTTTTAACAAATATCCGGAGCAATAATTTCAAGGTCAATCGAATCGACCTTTGGCACACATGTTGGTCGTTGGATTGACCCTCTTTTCCATAAATTTCATCAACGTCCATGGCTTTTTGCGATAATATTGCGCAATTTTCGAAAACTAATTTTTCCGCGTTCGATCTTTATTTTACAGTTAACAAGTTGGTGAAATATGACTTTAGATACCCTTAATTGCACGTAATTTAATTGCCTACAACATAAGATAACTAATTTTCCGATAGGTCGTCTGGATTTTCATGGGCAGTAAAAATGTGAAAAAACACGTAATTTTTTTTATATTCTACGTACATGCAATAAAATGTCTACTAATATTTTTTTTGGGTTTAAACTCTAAATCGACTGGACTATTAGTATATACATTTTAAATTGATATAAGCTTTCCAATATAAACATATTATAATGACAGAATTGTTTAAATATCATAAAACAGTAATACTTCTGAAAATTAAATCTTCATGTTAAACGGAACTGCTGATGCATTAATCATAATCAAATATGTATTTAAGTTTAATAGAGACCACCGTTTTATCCGCACCGAGCTAACTATATTTCCTGCTGATTTTTAATTTTCAGCCTTTAATAATCGTATAAATTAATATTTAAATTCGTAATTTGTTTTGTATGGTACGTTATATTGCTAATAATTATATATTCATATTTATTTTATATGAAATAATACTGTACATCAAAAATACATAGATAAAATGTCGACATCATAAATAATTGTTTAATGATTCTGTTACATAGCGGTTTCAACTTTAGAGTGTGATTAAAAGCGAATATTTTTCACAGATAGTTTAGCGCAAATGTACGAATATGTACGAATTTCTATAAAAATTTAACAGCAGAGGGCAATTTTAACTCTTTTATCTTGACTTATTAATTAATCTTATTTTACGACTTCATTTCTTACAAAACATTATTTGCTTTCCTTTAGATCCCCCCTAAATATCTAGGAGTAATCAAATAATGTTAACACATATACAGAACAGAATAAATACTGGTGCTTGATCCCATACTACATAGAAAGCAAAAACCATAATTTACAAGAGTGTAGCCTTCCCGAAACAAGTTCGTCGACGATTTGTACACATACAATTTAGGGACCAAGCTATTTTCCTTCAGCAGTTAAGTAAGTAAATGAAATAATAGCAGAAGGCTGCGAAATGAAATGTAAATATTTTAACAAAGTCAGTTTAACCCTTTCAATAATGATGTAAATAAGGGCGACCTTCGACTCAGCTTTGTTGATATTAATCTTTACTTCCCAATACCGACATGATTTATTAAATTTTTTTAATTGCGTTATGAAATACACATATTTTATTTCGTAAATAGTTAATGTAATTGTAAATTTAACTCATCTTTTGATGCGTCACAATTTATTTCTCTGAAATCCGTAGTATAGCAAATCAGTAATATGTCAGCTAGCTTAAACGGAAATAAAACAAACGAATCCCCGTGCTCTAGAATAAAAAATATTACCATGTCGAGTTAGGTTTTGGCCTATAGTACCTATCTCGTCTCACTGGATACATGTGTATGTCCCATTTTGATACTATTTAAATCTTGAAATGTGTTATTAACATTTTTAATTATTAATTTAATCTACTCCTAGTTTTTGAGTAAAGTTGAATTTTAGCGAGGAAAAATAATGTAGTATTTCTAAAAATCAAAACAGTGATATGACTAAATAATAAAAATACACATTTTAAATGATAAAAATACATGTTATGAGCTAGTGGTTTTAGTACGACCAATTTATATCCGCATTGTATATCAATATAACATTGGCGAGTAATTTTGGCACAAAATGTTTATTATTTTAGTTTAATTTACTTTATTTAAACTAATGCAAAAAATTAAAGGGTCAAAAGGATTTCCGAAATTTTCTTTTTTTTCTGAGTTCACGGACTTGGAAAATTTTTTTTCAGCTAAGTCATTGCATGGACTAGATAGCTTGTTTATTCAGCTTCGTTTATTTTAAATTTCGATATGACCATTTTTCATCGAAATATCGGAAATTATGGAAATGGATCCATTTGTCTTCCTTTATCTCGGCGACAAATGGTTGTATAGAGAATTGAAGGGCAGTTTCGAAAACTGGAATAAATTTCCTAACATGCTGCCGTCAATTTTCTAAAAAAACCATAAATTACCTTTTTTTCCCTGGTTTTTAAAATTCGTGTAAAAGATGAAAAAAAAAAAATTTTTTTGTTTTCTCACATTTTTACCGCAAATAACGTTTAAATTGATGAAAAAAAAAAAAAAAAATTAAAAATTTTTTCAGAGAAGCGGGTAGTTTTGAAAAAAACTGTTTTAAGTGATTACAGACTGCACAAAAATTAATTACAAATTTGTCTAAAAAACGGTATGAATCGGGTCGAAATCTGGTTTGGGTCATCAACTTTGATTTTAATTTAATTAAAAGTTGACGAACAGAAGCATGGGACGAAAAAGCTGAATCGTGCTGGAAACAATTGAATTTTGTTTTCATCAATGTCTGGAAGGTTTTTCAATAAAACAAAAGAACATTTTTTTCGAATTTTTTTTTTTCATCAATTTATTTTACTTATTTGCGGTAAAAATGTGAGAAATTTTTTTTCCATTTTAATCATGATTATGAGGTGTTTAAGATCAAAAAACATAGCCCTTTAATTTTTTTCAAAAGTGACTGAAACAAAGCAACGTTTCTTTAGATCGAGATGAAACTTCACAGGGTTCTTCTGGGTATATCGAACTGTAAAACTCATGCTTAACATTAGTTATTTCGTGAATATTTCTAATTTAGCCGCCAATTTTCTAAAAGACCATAAATTACCTTTTTTCCTGTTTATTTTAAATTCGTGTAAAAGATGAAAAAAAAAATTCCGAAAAGTTGCGGCATCATGTTATAGGAAATTTATTCCAGTTTTCGAAACTGTCCTTCAATTCTCTGTACGACCATTTGTCGCCGAGATATCCATGATTGAAGACAAAAGGATCCATTTCCATTAAAAGTCCGATATTTCGATGAAAAATGGTCGTATCGGAATTTAAAAAAAAGGAAATTGAAGCTGTTTAACAAGCTATCTGGTCCATGCAATGGCTTTAATTCCCGACCATTTTTCATCTAAATACAGTCTGTCAAAAATCACGGAAATTCTTTTGACCCTTTAGTTTTTTGCATTAGTGTACATTCATTTAAATTAAAATATGGACCAGTACTGTTTGTTAAATAGAATTCCAGAAAGTTTCACAACAGCTAAGATATACATAATTGGCACTTTTTGTTTATCCCTTGCTTGAAAACGTACCTATCGTTTAATTGATCCACAATCTTCCTTAGGATTAATTTTGTTATAATCCACAAGTCTATTAAAACAAACCAATAAAAAACTTTAACTCAAATCTTAAGAAGGCATATCCATTTGCTAATGCGACGGTGATTTTTTTAACTATAAAAGTTTAGAAATGACTGCAAATTTCTCTACAGCACTTAGTATTAAGTAATAATTGTTATATTGATATCTGAGAGCAGAAATTGGTCGGCACTACACTGTACCTTATGTGTTTTCCAAGAATGGATAATGGCACGTGTAAAAAACTGTAACGTTAAGCGGTACTTGAAACTTGTTCGCCTTAACTGCCATTATGCATCCTGGAGCAGTTGGAGTTCAGAATCCTCCATCAATTTTTCAGCAATTTTCAGTCACTTTTTAATCTCTATTATGTCCTAAATCATTTTAACGCTCGCTTTTAAATAGAGGCTTAAATCAAATTCAAGTTAACTGCACCCGCTATGTAGTCTTCCCTCAGCAGTGGGACCAGCGTCGGGGTACGCCTGGAAAGAAAAAGATTAGTGAATTTAGATGGAGGAATAAATCATTTTTAAGTACTATTTTCTCCTTTCATAGTCTATAGTTTGTTTTGAAATAGTATCAATAATTAAATCGGCCATAGGCGTAACAATATTCATGAACGTTTATAAACATAAACTCATGACATCATTATGACAGTCAAGCAGCAATTAAGGCTTTAGACACACACAAGGTATGTTTAAAACTTGTGTGGGAATGTTTAATAAAGCTGACTGAACTGGTTACCACTAATTCAGTTAGACTGTGTTGGATGCCAGGACATAAAGGCATTAATTAATGGGAACGAGATAGCGGATGAACTTGCTAGGAAGGGATCCGAAATAGACTTCATTGGTCCGGAACGCTTTTGTGGCACAATTTCCACTGTGGTCAGGAGGGTTTCGGGCAAATGTACTAAGTCAGTATACAGAATTTACTGGGCTTTACGGCCAGGGCAAAGCCATGTGAAGAAACTTATCGAGTTTGTTTTGAAGAAAAGAATGAATGAGTTGCTGACCCTGATAAAATTCGGCTCAGGAAAGTGACGGGACTTATAACGGGATAGTATCACTTTAGGAAACATCTATACAAGATAAGGCTTGTAGACAATCCGGTCTGCTGAGGCTGAGTCTTCTTGGCATATCCTGGGCGAGTACTCAGGATTTGTACGAAATAGAATGACGCTCCTGGGAAATCGTGTCTGAAAGACAAAGAGCTAGGAGAAGTGTCGGCAAAGAAGCTTTTGGACTTTGTTAAGAAACAACACTACTTGCTGAATAGGACTGAGCAGTGGGATGCACAATAGGCCTGATAAGGCTGCGGTACTATGGGACTTGATTGGAACCAACCACTAGATGAAGAAGCAGGAGGAGAAGGGACCAGATAAAGCATTAAAACCTTATATATTTTAATTTGCAGAACACTAGTTAGTCTTTCTATACCAGTTATTTGAAAAAAATCGCCGAAAAAATACGACAAATCGGTAAAAAAACCACACACCGAAGTTTGCACTTATTGAAGAATTTTTTTGGATCAGTTTGATAATTTAAAATTGTGTAATCTCGAATGGAAAAATTCAATCTCCAAACCATGTCCTACGTTTGCAATATACTTTTTGCCTTCGAACGACCTGCAAATAGGTTTCGGACTCTTTTCGAACTATCGTCTTCAGTTTTCAGTAACCAATAGAAGTCTGCCATCATATTAACGTCCCATTTGTCCTGGTACCTCATTTCAATTTCTATCAGATCCCGAGGAAAGTGTTCACCCTGCGAGGACCACTTGAGGGTTGCGTTCGGTGTGCAGCAAAATGAAACAAAGTGTAGTGAAGTGTAGTGAGTTGTCGGGGCGAGCGTTAGCTGGAAACTTCTGGTGTGGAGTCGTTTGCAGGTATACGAGTACGTATCTAGTCCGTGAAACCAATTTGCCGTGGACCTTTTCCTGGAACCATGGTATGTGTGTCCCGCGTCTGTTCTTTGTCCTTGCAACTGTTAGACCGGTCCGCCGTCAGGCTGGCGCTCTTGACGTACCTACTGTTTAAAATGGGTCAATTGCAGGCATGTGTGCAAGTTCTTAAGAAAATAGTCTCTCAGTATCTATCGTGAAACAATTTTTGGATTTGAAGTATGTTGAAGATGCCTTTTTTCAAATTTGCATCACTTAAATTCGGAAATTAATTAGTGTTCAGACCATTAAAGTACATGAGATTAAAGCTTTATTCAGACCAAATACATTTTTTCAAAACATCAAAATATGGATAGTCTAGTGGGGATGAATATTTACCATCGAACAGCAGAAGCAATCTTTGGATATGTAATACATAATACATTGAATTTTTGCTAGAAAAAGCAGGTTGTTTTGTTTGGGTAACAGAATATTGCCGCCCAATTGGAAAATTTAGTGGAACAATATTGATAGCTTGGATGAAACTTGGATAAACGTGCTGCAACAAAAGTATGGTAAGATAGAAACGTAGAAGGTTCTTGACACTCATATTTGAATGGGCCGTCAACACAATTAAAAGCTCCATCACACAAAAGGGGGCGATTGATAATAACTCCATCGACAGTGTTAATGGCTTTGTGGAGGGTGGTGTATAAATGAATATTTCGATGAAACGAGTGACGTTTTTTAAGAATATTTTGAATAAATTATGGATATTACACTTCTGGGATCTATTATTATAATTCATAAGGGTAGTACTAGTCAAGGATTATTCAAGAAATTGATACGGTTTCTTGAAAGAAAGCCGATGTAATTTAATGAATGTGAGAGCAATATATTTCTTTTTTCTACACCCGTATTATAACAATGCACTTATATGCCCATAATCCGTTTCATAATGATACCCATTACGATACAGATTTTTCATTACGATACAGATTTTTAATCAATAGAAACCCATAATTTTTCAATCAAGCATGCTGTGCATTTGACGTTTATCCTAGGTTCCTATGTAATTATTTTAGATGTCAAAATCAGTACGTATTAAATTTTCGTAGATACCTAGCTAAACTTCGATAATAATTTATCAAAATGTCTGATATCAGCGATATAGAAGAATTACCATCGACTCCTCCACACATATCGGAGAAAGCAGAAAATGCAGTTCAAAATATTTTACCCCAAAAATCTAAGAAAGTGTACGAAAAACTTTATCAACGGTTTATGGACTGGAGAAATACAAATAATATTTCGACATTCTCCGAAAATACAAATAAAATGTTTATAGTTTTCTTGTATCTATGGCAATACCAATACCCGAGGTATTCATTACAATTTTTTAGATTTTTTTTATAGAAATACGAATAATTACTGTTACCTATTGTGTTCAATAAAAATATAAAATTTATGGTTTTTGATTATTTATCGGGTGTAGAAAAAATTGCGTATGCAACTCTCATGTAATGGTTATTAATACACTCGCATAAACCATACGAAACTCGCCTTCGGCTCGTTTCGTATCGTATCTCGGTTAATGCTCGTGTATTAATAACCATCATTACATGATCGTTGCATAATATACTAATACTGCATTCGAAAGTAAAATGGTAAAAAAAAGGTTCCCCGATTATCAGCCGCAATAAAGATAATTTTACAAAATTAGGAAATGACAAGACTGTCACTCTATCATTGTGCACTTAATTCAAGCAGCTAAATAGTGTGGATATTTATACTAAGCAGTTATTGAAAGTATAACATATGAAAGAATGTATGAAATTAGATGTAACTGTAAGTTCCTCTACATTTTAAAGGGATTTGCATGTATGTATGAGTATAATGAGCATCTACTGTTGTATCTCGTTACAAAGTGTAGTCGAACGGTTAATAGCATCGTGATTTAACCTTATCAGGCGTGTTTAGCTTCTAGATAAGTCCTATTGTCCTGCATGCAGGTAGAACGTAGCCGTAAACAAAGCCAACGCAGGTTAGTAGATCAACAATTAAATAATAAATTTCTGGGTAAATATGAGGGGCTGCCATAATAAAGGCTGGCTTTGTAGTAACAGCCCGCTGTTGATACAATTCGTAGCCCGCATGCATAATTGCCATCGTTAGATATTCAGGATATTCGGAACAACAGTTTTGCAGGAGCTCAGAACCGTGACTTGTGATGAGAGGCGGAACAGATCATTTATTAATTAAGGAAATACGCGTAGTTTGATGTGTAGGCGTCTTACCTTCCATGTTTCATCGCATGTTTCGGTATTTTGAGATGAAACTTAGGATTTCAACATTTTAATACACTTAGTACTGCCAGGTCTATTAAATTTAAAAATCGAATTTATATTAAACGGAGATTTTTAAATCAGTTTTGTGACACGGCATATTTTTAACTAAACAGTTACACTAGACCAGGGCGGATCTGTCGAAATATACCACTTCTTGAATGTAAGAGGGGGCAAGCTAATTTTTGCTGGAATACCTTCAGTATAACTCACATAATAAAAGTGTAGATCCCTAGATCTGGGCGAGGTCCGGAACATTTTCAAAATTGCAAAAATCCTATTTTATCTGAGTTTTTTACTTATATCTTGGAACCTATGCATTTTAGAATTGAATTTTGCACAATATACTAGATAAAAATGTTTAAATTTATTACCAATGTTGCAAAATTAGCAATAATTGATGAAAAAAGGCAAAATCTAATTTTTTGGATATTTTTTTAAAAATGTTTTAATTGCTCCGAGAGCATTCCAATTTTGGTAAAAACTTTAGAGTATAATAAAACAACACACCAAATCTCATTAAAATCGGTTCATAGTTTTCGCAAAATAATTTTTTGAAAAACATTTTTCGAATTTTCAAAATTTTGCAGAGCCTCAAATAAAGCATCTAGATACTTGAAAATTTTTTCACATAGAAAAGACCGCTCAATCTTTCAAATGGTTTTTGTAAAATTGAAATGGGTTAATTATGGCCATAGTAAATTTTTAAAGTTAACACTCTTTTTTTTTAATTTTTAAACAATCAGATTACATTTATCAATTTATTTAGTTATTTTCAAAAATTATAATTTTAAAGTACTCGGAGAGACTCTTTCTCTAAAAAGAAAATTTTAAATTCCGTTTATTGGTTCTCGAGATATAAGCAGTCAAAGTTTATCGGCATTTACCGTTAATTTATAAACAATTTAGGAATAATCTTTGATCCAGTGGCTTTGTTTTTCCGAGTTCTAAGCTGGAAAAAATTTCATATCCATAAGTTATCGGAAACATAGATAAATCAGCGGAAAAGCTGTCGCTCACACGCGCGAAAAGTGACTCAAAACACGAAAAGTGGGGGAAGGGCTTTCGCTCCGAGACTGAATTCGGAAGTTCAAAATGCGAAGGTAAGAAAAATTTGTATTATCTCGGCTTCTAATGGACCAATTTCGATATTTGTTTTTTAATCCGATGTCTCGCGACCCAAGGAATTCGAATATCGTAATGCCAACTGTCTAATTTGCACATATTTTGTTATAAACAAAGTTTATTATTGATGC